AAAAAAAAAAATAAATCAATATATCATGTCTAAATATACAATGACTTACCAAATGAATATAAAATGACTTAACAAAAAGTATTTCCAAATTTATTTGATAAAAATGTAGGCGAAAAGAAGTTTATTTATGGCTCTTAAGGGCCTTTTGGCATTTTTTTGTTTCACTCGATCTCCTCATTTTTCTTGATTGCTTCGAAGAATCGATCACACCAACTTGTCGATCTTTAAACAAATCTATTAATAACCGCAATCCTTCCAGTCAAGCTTTGAGCCTCTTTGACGGATGTGTGCGGTCATAGACTAAGGGTAGCTTTAAATTCTCGGTGTTTTTCTTCGATTCCTTTTTGACTAACTAAATGACCTAAATTCTCTTAGCTTAACCGCGAATGTACGTTTCTGGGATTCAATATCACGAAACGAATAGAATATGTTTCGTTAAGATGAGTTACATGTTCTTTAGCAAATAAAGATTTTACATACATATTGTCTACATACATGGTTTTCCCAATGAGATCGGCAAACACTGAAGTATCTAAACTTTATCCAAGTGTTGTATGTAACTTCGACAATTTTGAGTTATTCTCAAGGTAGCAGGCTTTTTTATGTCGATTAACTCGTCATCTTTTACTTTGGGGGCTTCTGCTACCGATCTTCGAATTTTGGTGGGGAGTGATAAAAGAGATTTTTTTAACAACTATAAGGGATCTATTGGATCTCCGATCAGTGGTGATACGTGCTTGATATGTGTTGGTCATCAATTAATCTCATTGTTTCTTGCTCCAAGTGTTCTTCCTGTCTCGATCTCTTTCGTGCTAGCCGAAGTTGGTCGATTGATCTCCAAGTCATTGATCGCAATTTTTGGTAAGATTAGGATTATTATTGCTTGGATCGACAAGCTGATCACTAGGTCAAACAAATTCGACAATGTGCGAGGACCGGTTAAGAGGTTTGAAAATGAATCTCCCTAAGGCCGCCCTAGATCATCTAGCCTTGATATGGCCTTTTTTATTTAAGGATCGAATTTCCCCACCTCATATGTTCTTGTTGAAGGTGAGCTGATCGATCTATATTCTTAATGAGGGCGATCTAATTAGGTAAACAAAGGAAAACCAATTGCCGTAAATTGAACAATTGCAGTATCATACCCATAGTGGTCATGATGGAAATAATACCTAAGTTTAAAGGAAACACAACGAGTATGAAATTTTCCCCTTTGCCAGAAAATAAACTATAACACATGGGCATTATTGGAGATGTTGAACTGCCTAAGTAGTTTACTGCCACTATAAATAGGTCAGTCGCTAATCGCTCACGTCCTCACAACACAGACCAATTCCAATACAATGAAGCGTGAAGTTGACAAAGGCCACTACGAAAACAAAAGAGGTCATGTCATGTAAATACTCAAAATTTGTTAAGCCAGCAGCCAAAGCTTAGTTACCACAGACAAAAGGTGACTGGCGATAAGTTGTACACTATTAGTTTGCTAGTCCTTTCAGCCATCGACCGAGCCAAAAAGAAATACTCAGTAGGTCTTTTTTCTCACGACCAGCTTCTTAACGTCTTTCTTTGCAGTTGTAGAGGGCCCTGTCGTTGAAACTCCAATGGAAGCTTGATATAGATCCTTCAATCTACGAAGGAATAACATGCAACTAAGCAACAAATAATATATACACATAAATATATATGTGTGTGTGTGTGTGTACATGTGTTTGTGTGTGTGTGTTATATTATAGAAGAAAAGAAAGTAATAAATCCACACTCAAACCATCTCAGCTACCTTGGCATGCTTATGAACAGAGCAATCACTGAAATCCCGACAACCAGAGGATACACGGGAGCAGGAGTCAGTTCCTGGAATCAAATTAATGAAAGCACCGTCATTAATAGATAACACACCTAGAACCAATAATATTCAAAACTTGTCAGTTTCATCTCCACTGAAGAGCCAGCCAGATTTAATTATGAAAAACATTCACAATTGTCTTAACATTATATAGTGGATCCCTGGGCAACTGCAAAGATAATGCAGTGTGATCCGCAAAACAGTTTCTCAGCCAAATTGACATTTACCTGCTTGTAATTGTCCTCATGAATCCTATAGTTCAATGGGCCGACATGAATCTGAGGTTGCGTCTCTAAGTTTATCTCAATGACATCAGATTCAAATCTGTGAGCATTGGATGGCATAGCAGATCGGAGTTGGACAAGGTACTTACCCTTAGGCAAGTCTTTCACCTGAAAGAAGTTTGAAATTGGCAATGGAAACATGGACACAACCTTTGACTCATCAACAGCTGACCTAATCTCCACTCTGACATGGGGCCAGAGCTCCTTAATATTAGTTCCTTCCACATGGCCACTTAATATGGTAACCTCTGGCACTTCGAAGACTACAAATTTCAGTTCCTTCATATCCTCATAGCCAATCTAGCATGACATGGGTCAGGCAACACAGTCAACACCATCACAAGAAACGTGAAAAAAGAATACTACACACTAAACCAAATGGAGCAATGCAAGCTGTGGGAGAGGGGTCGGGAGCCTGGGGATATACTATTACTCCCTGGAATTTTTTGAAAAATGGTGTTTTAAGTGCATTTATGGTTAATTATTAAAATAATCATGAGTTTTGGTATTTTCGCAAACATTTTAATTTCCTTGCATATATAATTCATTTCTTCTTTTGGTAATTACTCAGGTCTCAGTACGTCATTTAATATGAGAAACACCAATTTTTTAAGCATAGTGCTTAAAACCATAGTTTTTAAACCCGGCCCGGTAATCGACCCGGGCAGGTCTTCGGGTCACCGGGTCACCGGTTCAACCGCCGGGTCACCGGGTCAATTGCTGAACCGGATAATTAATTTTAAAATTTATAAAATTATATATAGAGTATTTTGTGATATATAAATATACATAAAAATAACAAATTTAAATATTTTGTATGTAAAATTTGTAGATTAAAGTGGTAATAATATTTATATATTTATTATATAAATATATATACATAATTTTATTTTTTAAAAAGAAAAAGAAAATTTAAAAACAAAAAAAAAATAAAAAAAATACACATAGACCGGGTCAACCGGGTTGACCCAGCCGGGTCATTGTCCCGGGTCGACCGGGTCAAGGCCGGGTCGACCGGGTTTTGACCGGGTTTGACCGGGTCCATTGTTGCCCGGTCTAATTAACCCACCCGGACCGGTTCCGGCTCCGGGTCGACCGGGTCCCGGGTCGACCCGCCGGGCCGGTCCGGGTCACAAAACACTGCTTAAAACCCATATATTTAACCAACAATCAAAACTTACCTTAACACTCAAGAACTCCGGAGATGCCCGCTCAATATGTGTGTTATCAAGTTTGCCCTTCCTGGCTATTTTAATTGCATAAGTGGTAAGCGGTTGGAGTCCCCTCAGCCGATAACTTCCTGATGAGTCTGTTACCGTCTCCTCATAAAAGCCTTCTGCCTCGGCCCTCGCTTCAATCGACAAACCTTCTTTTGGTAGACCAGACAATAGAGTAACTCTGCCCATCGCACTGCAACAAGGGTAAATGGTTTCAAAGTTATAGCAAAACAAATTGGCTATGCATGAAACTTCGAGAAGTGAGACATGAAACTTCGAGAAGTGAGATTATGATAGATATCTACCAAACTATCAAATAATTTAGAGCTTTAGACGGATGATTCGGGACTGCTCAAAACGTTGAATGAGAAACTGTTTTATGCTTGGATATAAATTTGTCCAAAAAAATCCAATCATTTTTAACTCAACCACGTTTTCTAACTCAACTTTAACTCAACCCCACTATCATCAATACTATCAATATAATTAAATAATAACAATCAATCATATTCTTACACACCACATCAACTTTAATTCACTATTCATCCACTCACATAATTTTAACTAACCATCACTTCAAATCATCTCTCATACTTTTACACTAATTCAACTTCAATTATTTTATTTTAAATACTATTTTAATATACCCACTAACAACTAACCACACTACATTTTTTAAAATTAACCAAACCAAACCAAAAAAATCCAAACAGTTCCAAAAAAAATTATATCCAAGCATCCCACTTCTAGAGATTTGGCAGTCACTAGATCAAAAAAGACAAATGAAGCATATGGAGGAAAGACTAGATCACCCAGCTCCAGATGATAGGTGGGACTGGGAGACATAAGTACCACATTTTGCAAAAATTACCAGATATAGACCACAAATGGGAGTGAAATATATTCAGGCTAATTTCTCTGTCATGAAGTTGGTTAACATTTATAACAAAATACATAGTCAATGTGCTGTTCACTAAATGATGCAGTCATGCAAGTAAAAGGATGTGCACGTGTGAGAAAATACTATTTCTATATCAGCATCCTTGAGAGGTACAATCCATACTTAGGGAAATTTTTTAAGCACGTCTTCTCACACAAAAAGATGGGATCTGTGACTGAACACTCAACAAGTTATATCCATAACCATATTAGAAAGAAGAAAGCATATTATTGCAAGAAAAATACATATCAACTCTTATGATACAAACTAGGACGAAAGCCTATTGAAGAGTTGTTACCTAAAAGCAATGCGATTAGCATAGAAGACAACTTCCTTTGATTCGCCTGAAGAAAGGTCGATGGCCTCAGCAGGAGGAGAGAATGCATATTCCTGAAGTGGAAAAAGGAACCACAACAATAGAAATAGTAAAATTGACTTAAATTCAGACATAAAAAATGAAACTATGGACATATTATAAGAGGTTGAAGAATTAAGAAGGGACTATAATGTTTAAGGAGGAAAATAGCCATTTATAATACATTGTTGAGCTTAAAATATACTGAAAGGAGCATGGGATTCCCAGGAGCAGCATGAGATCTTAAACGGGTTCGAAGCAAAAAAGGCAGACCTGGTCAATGTTTGAGATTTTTTTGATTCCATTCTCCTAATAATCAGCTTAGCTTACAATGTCACAATTACAAAGCTATCGCATCAGCCGGGCCGGTTCACGACCTGACCCGACCCAGCCCGACCCGGTGGGTCACCGGGCCTCAAAAGCTGGACCTGAAACAGGCCCAGCTATATCTAAGGGCCGTTTCAAACGAACCGGCCCGACCCGGCGGTTCAGTTTTTTTAATAAAAAAAAATAAATAAAAAACAAATACAAATCGTCGTCCGACCCGGAACTGGTCCGTCAAAAAAAGAAAAACTAAGACCCGGAACCGGCCCGGTTTTGTCACGGGTCCGGTTCCAAGACTCGTACGTACGGGCCGGGTCGACCCTTCCCACCTCTATAGACATAGGAGAAAAAACGATCAATCAGCACAAACAATGGATTTCAAATACCTTCAATAAAGGTCGGAGGTAAAAACTCCCAGGAAATAAGTTATCAAATATGAAATTGCCACCAACACCAGTCACTGAATTGTTTCTATATCCATCTTCGCCACTCAATGACAAAAGAACAGAAGGAAAAGGCTCATTGCTTTCTTCATTAGAATATAATCGCACCGAAATCTGACCCAACTTCTGGCAAGAAAAGGCATACTGTCCAATTTGCTTTACATAGTAACCAGGCTGCAATAAAGAAAACATATCAGTAGTCATTCATGTTGACTGCAGAGGAATCCAACACTTGAATCCTGAGCGCACATTTTCCTATATGCATTTTCAATAGGCAAGTTTTCAGCAAGTGTCATTTGTTTTCTGAAATTACATAGATATTATGATTTTCTTCGCTCAACTCACTGATCGACACCAATCATACCAAAAAGAATGTTGAATGAAAGAATGTGTAGCAACTGCGCTGTCTGCAAAGAAACGTCTTTACATATTATAAACTACAATATTCCTATCTGCTGGATAAAATATCTAGATAGCTCACCTTGCTCTAATAGGAAATATAAGGACTGGTTATCACGAAAATGGAACATTTCTTTCAATTGGAAAGCAAAAAAAGTAAAGTACAATTTTTATCCAAGCAATGATTAAAACATATAGAAGTAGAATAACATCAGTTTTCTTGAGTTGATAAAAGATGCACCTCTTAGGATACTCAAATCCCTATTATTGAATTATATCAGAAAAGAAGCAGGATTAGCAAATAATTTTCAACGAAAACATGCCATCATATGCATAATCTGAACTGCAACAAATTTCAAACCTTTGATGCATCTATGCTGTACCCTATATCATCATAAAGCGGTCCAACAAGATATGAACCATCTGCCCCTGTGGTAACTTCAAGTGCGGTATCGCCTTGTTTAAGTGTAGAAATACGACTATCTGTCTGTGCAAGAACTTTTATGCGAACGTGAGCAAGAGGGGGTGTAACTGATCCTTTAATGTATAAACCTAATCGAGCAGAAAATGGAGCAATTGGAGCTTGACATCCACCTTGTTCCACTGAAACCTAATCAAGTATGATGATGACTTCAGATCAACTGCTTTATTTTTCCCTATAGATACATTATATATGCAAGGAATGACATTCGAAATGAACTTACATTCTGTTGTTTAGGGTAAAATAAGATTTGCTTTCCCACACCATTCCTGCAGCAAAGGTAAAATAAGGATGAGAATATAGATTTTATTGCAGCAATTAAATAATCCCTTAACAAAGCTGTTTCTGAAATAAAGTTCTTTACCGTATATTGGATATAAAGTTCTTTACTCCTTATGGGGTAAAGAATATTAACAAAGCTGCTTATGAAACTGGAAGTCACATGTCTTTACCACTTATACAGGGGTAAAGAATATTAACATAGCTGCTTATGAAACTAAGAAGTTACACATACGGCGCATGTGATTATTAATGCTTTTTTACGATTTAAAAGCTTTATTTTTATAGAGTTCACTATTCAATTTTTTTTCATTAGTATAATAAAAGAGGAAATATATGTATATAAAATTATATAAATAATGTATTGGAAACTGAAATATAATCTTTATTGGTATTACTTGAAAGCTATATGGTTAAATAAAAGTAAATAAATAAATTTGTGTTAAAAATCCAAAAATGTAATCAATCAGCTTTTAGTGATTGCCGATTGCTAATGAAGTCATTTGTTAATTAATGTTGTCTTCACCATGAATTGTTTGAAACCATGATCACTTTTTTCGTTACTTTTATTGATATAATATAATATCTTTGTATATAAACTTATTTTTTGGCAATCCAATTTCATAGTAACTTTTAACACTGGTTAACAAAAAAAAAAAGCTAAAGTTCTAGATTAGTCATCCCAAGAGACATCAATCTGGTTAACAAAAAATCAAGCTAATGTTCTAGATTAGTCATCCCAAGAGACATCAACCTGTTATACGTTATCACAGGTCCAATTTATGTTACTCTCAACCTATGTTACCCGGACTCTTCTATTTAGGAAGAATACCCGTGTCATGTTGTGTCGACACTGGTGGGAGTATGCGTGTTGGGTGTGGCATTTTAGCCTAAAATGTTCAAGATTTCTAAACTACTGACGAGTCGGACGCTCATATCTCCACACCCGATACGGACCCATATCCGAGTCCAGGTAGCATAGCTCTCAACATGAAGTAATAAGTAGAAGATGCTTATGTCGCATGATTAGGCACATAAAAAAAAATGAGTAGCAGTTCCACTCTCCTTTATGTTCACCATGGGTGGCAACACATCTTTCTAACTGAAAATTTACTCTCTTCAAATCAATTAAAAGAAACGGAAGGGGAGAGGTGGGTCTCAACATAAACATTAACCAAGTATCAGATAGATTAACTTCTTGGAAGGTATAATGGTGTACCTTATGAAAATTGAAAAAAAAATATAGGGACGGGATAGTGACATGCACTTTTTAATGAAACACTTCACCGAGCATAAACCAGAAAAAAGATGGACGTGCACTTTTTAATGAAATACTTCACCAAGCATAAACCAGGAAAAAAGATGGAAGTAAATAAGATGTAAGCATGCAGTGAAATTGCTGAATCACCACAGGAAGGCAAAATAAATAAATAAATAAATAAATAAATAAATAAATAAATAAATAAATTAATCCTCAACATGTATGATGTATGTGTAGGTTAATGTAAGACACCATTCACTTTACTGGACAAAAAGCATCAAAGATATGCAGAAGCATCAGCTGTGATTAAACCATTATTGCCAAATATATACACATACACATACCGTGAGTCACGAGGGGCAAAGATGAGGTTTTTCCCAGAATTAGCCCACACAGAATACTCATAGACAGCAACCTCTGAGTGATCAACTTCAGCTGAGACAAGTTTGGCAACTGTACTATCAACTAATGTTTCTTGATCATCTAAGATGACAAGCTGTATACTCTCAGGTAAATCCTCTTTTGATTTTGACTTGACGTTTATAAGCCCTCGCAGCAAATATTTTTCACCCTTTAAGTTAATAGGCTGCACAAAGACACATACGATGAGTCTTAAACAAAAAACATGTCCATCCAAACACCCTTCCACTATCTATTCTTGCCTAATCAGAACTCCTTTGTCTCCTAAAGATAAATTTATATATTAAAAGAAAAAAAGAAAAAAAAAGGAGAGACACTTCTAATGTATCATACCGACTGATCTGATGTGTCAATTTTCCAAGTAGAGCTCCCAAAGGAAATACACGAGTCAATGAAATGGAGTTCATGCACACCAGGAGACTCTACACAAATCTGATTGGAACCTTTCTGTGATTCATGAAAAGATTTTAAGATGATGGTTCACACAAAATGATGGATGAAAATTTCAATAACGAATAAGTGTTTACCTTAATCTTTAAGTTCATGTGTGAACTGTCTGCTTTTACCAGGTAAGCATCGACATCATGGCTGGAAATTACCCTTACCAAATAGCCTTTCTGAATAAAAGTATTCCCATCAACATCTTCCACACCAACAATCACATTTATACTGTTCTGTTCCCAACACCATACGTCTTCTCCTGATGAGACTCCAGTGCCATGAGTTTTTACCTATAATGGAACATATTGATGATCAAAAATAAAAAAGTCGAAGGTCGAAAACTATAAAGGGACTGTGACCTCTGAAATGTGCCAGTTAGGGTTTTATCAATTTAACCCATAAAAAACCAATTAAAACTCAAATTTAACTCAACCTCACTATCATCAATATTATCAATATAATTAAATAATATCAACCAATCATTCTTACACATCAGAAACTTTAATTCACTATTCATCCACTCACATAATTTTAACTAACCATCACTTCCAATCATTTTTCTCCTACTTTATATCAAATCAACTATAATTATTTTATTCAAATATTATTTTGATATATCCACTAACAACTAACTATACCACTCTTTTTTCAAAAGTAACTATAGTTAAAAAATAATTCAAATAAAAACTAGTTGACTTCATAAACAATCACCCCCCTTACTTTTTAATAGAAACAAAATGAAGAATTGACCAGATGGAAAATGTCTGGTGATGTCTATGTGTGAATGACAATTATTCTCAAAACCAATATCGGTGGTTTTTGAGGGGTCTAGAAAATCATTTGCAGGAATAAATAGGCACTTTAAGAAACAGCCTAACAAGCGTACTTCTACATATATGTACATATAAGCATACACAATAAAAGGAGTAAAATAGTACATCGAAAAATGTCGAGAAAAAAGGCAATACCTCAATTCTGTATTTCCCCGGGAGAACGTTGGAGAATGAAAACTTATTACTCGGATCAGTCAAACTAACTGAACTCTCTTCTTGACTTTTACCATCGAGTCTCACAAGCATTACAGAAACAGCAGGCCCACATTTGTCTTTGCAAACTACTGACCCATGGATGTTGACCTGTGCCTATGTTTTCCAAATAAAACAAAAGTAAAATTGATGATGATGTTGATGATAACACAAATACTAATACAACAACTGCTGATTATAATAATAATTACTATAATTATAACAATTATTATAATAACAACAATAATAATAAAGAAAAATACATTAAATCATCTTGGCAGCCAACTTTTTTTATTAAAGAAAGTGTAAAGGGTCAAAAGGTGCAGGAGAGAACGGCGCATTAACAATTGAGATTCTATACTTGTAAGCTCATACCTGATAAAACTTTATATCTAGTAATGGTTTATGAACAGTAACATCTATGTAATTTGGTGAAAACTGAAGTTCTGGAGCACTCTCAGGTGTTGCTGCAAAAGCAGATAAGCGATATTCGCCAGGTAGAACCTGAAACAATGATAGAACTGAAAATCTGCACTATAACCCATGGCATAGCTCATAGATCACCAGAGTTTAAAATGCTCTGACGTAGGCATACTATAAATACAGAAGAGAACATATAACTAGAATAAATAGCCCATAAACAAGGAAAATAACTGAAGTACAGACTACAGAACCTTACCTCAAAGCAAAAGTTACCACTTTCATCAGTGTGCTTCACTTGCGGCTTGACATTCTCTGGTCCATGAGTCAAAGCAACCTAGCATTCAGATGATATAATTACTAGGTGTCATGCCATCAAAACATAAAAAATGATCACAAGGTATTTTACATTTCAAGCTAACAAGTAACAACAGATACAAACAGTTATTTAAAGAAGCCTGTTCACGACGTTAGCATCAAGTCTCAGTAGTTATGACCGGACCAGTCAATACATCAAACAGTTGGTGCATACACCTCATGTAACTACTGTCATCCGAATTCCGAACAACTCACAATTTGCATATCTCGCTAGGAGATTTACATCTATAATTGATATACGTAATAATTATGCACGCGGAATAAGAAAGACGGGATTCTTCATAGTTTTCTATCCTCCCACACGCAAATACAAATATAGATATTTACAATTATTTGGGGACTTCAAAGAGGTGGGCAGACATTACCTTAGCTTTGTATGCAGAACTAATCGTCTGAGCCGTGCCGCATACATCATATGATATTGCTTTGATATTAGCAATTGAAACCATGTTTGGCAAAACCTAACAACTTGATTGGATTAGAGCATGAAAGATGTAACAGAGAATTCAATAAGGTCAATAGAACAATAAGAGATACTGGCATCAAATTGCTCTCATTTTTTAAGGTCTAATGTACTAGATGTCAGCAACAAATTTAAAGCTTGGAAATAGACTCACCAAAAAGTCGTTCAACCTTTCAAACTTGTAGTGCTCTTTCTTCACTTCGATACTGTATCTTTTCGAGGTAACCTAAAGCAATGATTTGGTAAACACAAAAAATATAAGGGGCAAAAACAGAGCTCACATTATTCATATTAAATCCATGGGAAAACAACATGATTAAACTAGATATCCAGGATAGTACAATGGCACACTAGTAGTATTACAGGGTTTGTGTGCATACTGATACTTTAAGGTCTCAACAATTAAATTTATTCTAGTTGAATGATTGTCTGTTCACAAGTTGCAGGTGATACCATAAAATCCCTGAGATGCAGATTGGAGACAGAGGAATGAGAACAATATGAATACGACTATAAACATTCTAAGAATGTACTTATTCTCAAATTCTAGTAAGTATAGCAGTTTACTTAAGTAAACATTTCTTTGAGATTCAAGACATGACATATATCTGGTCACATGGTCTATGACTCTACTGCAACATGTTTGACGGCTTTAAATTTGATGACAATAAGAAAGGATAAGTCAAAACTAATGATTCAAAGGTTAGTGTCACATGTCTCTTGTCCTATGATATGATACAAATGAAGCTGTATCACACAGAACTTTCCAACAAGCTACAGTTTCAGTTCCTAGCACATATACCCTCCCGTTTTCCAATCCCTAGAATATGGGTACCGTAGGTAACAAGTTAAAGCGAAAAATAAGATGATCTGGGCATATATAATGTTACTAAGGATGAAGTTCACATGACATGCATATCAAAAACTGGAAAATAAGACCTAAATAGGGGACAAAAACAAAGATTGATAGCATCAAGTCCTTTCCAATAATAACTGATCAATATCCTTAAAGTTTAAACAAAGAAACTCAACATTGGTACTATAAGTTGGAACACATATTTACCTGATCAAGTTTGTAATACCCTTCTGTATCAGTTATTGATCTTTCAAGACCATCCACGAAAATTTTTGCAGCATCAACTCCATTACCATTACCATCAATCACACGGCCTCCTACAGAAAACCCAGTAACCTATACAACATGGATGATGTTACTGAAATGTATAGCTTCCAATTGAATAAAAATAAAGAATCAAACAGGAATAGTACTCTACAAACATATAGTTACAGCTAAAATTACACAATCACCCGGTATTTAGTTCATCCACAGAATGGTCCTTGCAGGTCAAGACAAGTTTGAGCGTTTAATATTTTATAATTACTAGAGCACATACTATATTATATTTCCAATCAGCTACATACCAATTTATAGAACTAGAAAATATCCTGTGCATGTGCACAGATGTATATAAAATATTATAAGTAATATTTGAGAATATAATATTAAAATATTAGATAATAAACATATTACATTTTTAAAATTTAATCATTAGGAAAAATAAATTAATGATCGTTTATTATTGTGAACAATTGTTTATTATCATTAGATAATAGCAGTTTGATTATTATTATTATTATTATTATTATTATTATTATTATTATTATTATTATTATTATTATTATTATTATTATTAGAAAAACAAATAAGATTCTAAGGTTGTTCGACTATGCTATTAAATCAATTTACTAATTGTTTTTAAAGAAATTTTTTCATGAGATTCAAAAGAAAAAGATAATATTGATGTTAAAATAAATAACTTGAAATAATTGTTTATAATTATGCAATTTATATTTATTGTGAATTATTATTAGTTGGTATTAGCATTAATTATTACATAATATTATAGAAAAATACATGATTGCACTCAATAGGAAGTATTAATGTGAGAAGTAAAAAACATTAATGATAAATATTGTAACCGAAAATGGAGGGAAAATTTTAGAGGTTTTATTAAATAGGTTTTCTTAAATGTTATTAGCTAGTAATTATATATATATAGATATAGATACTAAGGTCAGCTGACACTGTTAGACAAGAGCATGATATCAATTAAAAGAGCAAAACTGGAAGTACGATTCTAAGGAGTTTACAATTAGAAGCATACATCACATCTTCACGGGCATTCAGAAAGCCATTGCTAGCTTGAACTACTTTTTTGCTAAATTCTTACCTGAAATTTTTGAGGGACTACAACATGATCGTGCTCAACGGACACCAACATTGAAGGTGGTGAAACATCAAAAATGGTATTCTCACCCTTGTAGAATGGTATGAGCTTGTATGTCCCTGAAATGATCAAAACATCGGTTGGCTGGGCACCAAAAACTACAATATCACCTTATAGAAGTTGTGGCATTGTTGCATATATATGTATTCAAGAGTAGAAGTTTAAAGATGATAACTTTCAGTGATATCGATGTGTTTGATGCAGCACCAAAGTACAAGTAGAGACATGAAATACAATTGACAGATAATTGTCAGAGCTATACGAGAGAGGATGTCACTGTTCTTGGCTAATGAATAGAACTATGGATATGCCGGAAGATAATAAAACATTGCAACTAATGATTGTTATCTGCAAATATCTTTCAAGGAAGAAATTCCCAAACAGTACTAATCATTATTCAATTGAGTTAAGCAATTCCAATAAAGGAGGGATGAAATTCAAAACAAAGAAATTATCATAGCTGCATAAGGATGATGAGTGCGGTGAAAAAACCACAATCATTTGAAGTGTGGAATGCATAGGTCACATGGAGCATGCAGAGTTTAATATAAAGTATAAACTGGATAAGAATGAAGAAACAAAAAAGAACCATGCTTAAGTAGCAATAGAAAAATAAATATAGAGTAGTACCACATGGTATTGATGTGAACTTGAACATCCCATCAGCATCAGATACAGCATGACAAAGAGCTTTCCCAAGCCCAGGTGCATTACCAGAGTCATGCTGACAGTTCAGCTCCAAGACATCATCTGAGTATAGATAAACATGAACTCCCAGTATCGGATTTCCCTACCAATATCGCATCAGATGACATCAGATTTTTTGGGATTTAGGAACCATGTTGAGAAAACAAAATCATCAAGGAGTAGAAGCTCTTGAAATACAGAAAATTCACATGAAAAGGTTAAAAAGTATATAGTCCATGACATATAAGCAGTATAAGTTTTCCGTGGAGGCAGATACCAATTTTCATATTTAATTACAAAGGCTGGGAAAAATCTCATTGAACAGGAATTCTTTTTCTATAGAACTTCAAGAAATGATAAGGTTTGACCATAATCATCACATTACTATAAATATATCATCTAACCTTCACATTAATATAAAAGAGAAATAACTAACAACAATTAATAGCTAACAAAAAAAAATTTGTCTACCAACCAAACACAGGCAAGACCATCCTGATGTCATCATGCAGTGACTACAACATTTGAAACAGATTACCCAGGAGTACTAATGAAAAGACATGAGCGAAAACACCAATACAACAAATTGCTGTAAGACACCAGCTTATTCTTCATTAAGCAGGACACAAATCAAGAATTCAAAACAAGTAGCTGCACTAAAAAATAAACCAACAAATTGCAAAACCCATAAGTTATTGAGTGGTATACTTTCAATCTGAACCATGTAGCATTATTAAATTCCTAAGCCCCATATTACAGCAAAAATATATGAAACACGGAAACAATTGGAAGCCAGAAAGATTACCTGAGCAACCACATAGCCACGAATATCATATCCTGATGCAAAAAAGATATCATCTACCACACCGTTATCGAAACCTAATTCCACCTGCAAAATTATACATGAATTTAAGCAACATCGTCATCACAAAGATGGTATCGTCTGTGCTCTAAATGTGTCAACACTAGCAAGAGGTAGTAGGTAACGATAAAATGTGAAAGGAAGAAGCAACCCATGTATTTACCTCATCAGAACCCTTGATCTCTATATTTAAATCACGCCGGAAAGCACCTATCTTATACTTTCCTGCACCAGGTATATTTATCATCAAGAATGAGTGAATGACAGATAGCGCAGCTCTAAATATGAACAGCAAAAGATGTATAAGCAATAAAAGATCTGATTAGGTTAACTTAACGGAAGACAGAGTACTTTTCTCCTCATATAAAGGCCCAATCTCCTTACAACGTATTGACTTCACAGAAATGAAGTTCTGGAATGCTGGTTTCCAGTCCACACTCTATATTCAATACATATTTTAAGTAACTGGAAATTCAAATAATTATTTATATAGTATTAATACTATTTATCTTATGAGCAATCTTGGTACTGATGAACCAAAACAAGGTAACAATTTAAATAGCTAAACCGAAAGGAGGAGAAAGAGAAGATATGACCAACAAAGAGAGGAAAAGAAAATGAAATAGTAACACATCAGACCTGGAATGATGTTCTCAAATGAGTAACTTCCCATCGACGTAGTTGAAACAGAAGAAACATCATCCCCACTAGGAGATGAAAGCTTGACGTTCACATTTGATGGCCCACCACTTCTATGTGAACAGTGACCCCCGGAAACTGCTCCAACAACTCTTCCAGATAAAGAGAATCTGAAACCATAGCGAATTAGTAAAGCAAAAGGCAAGAACCAAATGCAGAACACAGATAAGTCCAATATTGTCTGTAAGCAAAAATGTATTGATTAAAAAATATAGATAATAGAATTAACACCTATCTGTAATTGTAAACAACAGTTTTCTGAATCGAAAACAAGAATTCAAAACTTAATGGCGTTTATACCTACCCAGTAAATTGAAAATTTATATCTTCATTAGCATTACAACCTTTGTGATCAACAATAACAGGAACCTATAAAAGAAAATGGAAATGTCAGAATTTACAGTAAATGAAGATGAAGCATAAACCAAAATACCCAGTAACTTAATAGAGTGATGACATATTGTTAAGAACAAATATATTATTAAAAAATACACAAGAAACTTAACTTGTTCTGGTGCATATGTCCATCCCTCCGGTCCCTTTATTTTTATCACATAAGAACCCTGCATTGAAGACAAAGCATTGTTGCAAAATGAAATTTATTATTATAACTATGGTGAGATGACACAAGTACACAAAAAGTAAATTAATCGAGGCATAAATAAATTAAATAATTCCTACTTAGACAAACTTATTTTAAATTATTCCTTCACCGACATAGCTGTTACTTGGAAATTAAACCAAAAGATTTATATCTAATTCACAACATTGTTCTTTGTTTTTCAAATAAACTTACTTTTCAGTTTGATATACTAATCATGGATGCAAATTCCAACTTAAGTTGAAGCAAAGTGATAGTAAATGGAGTCAAGGTTCTGAGACAGCAATAGCACAAGAAATGCCAAATTTTAACAAAGCGTGCTTTAATTTTTCAAAGCAAGCTCAGCAGCCTTAAGCATTCGTGAATCTGGTTCTTGGAGAATAAGGCTGTTTGTGGAACAAGGGATATTGGGAATAGGATGGATGAGAGTATCAAAAATATATGGAATCCTCATAGAAACAAACCATTGTGGGAGGATAAACGTGACAAATACAAGCATCTGCTACCAAAGAATAAGCAATCGATTACCTGGTTGATCCTGGGCATAATCAATAAAAAGGTTTCATACCAAACCTTGGAATTGCTAACTCCAAATCATTGTCATCAATTGAGCACGAGGGAAACCAAAAGGCACAATTCATTTGACCATAATGACGATTACTATTTATTATTTAGGCCATGCAATACAGCATGAAATTCATTAAAGAGAAAATCTTCGCAATAAAAAAAAATCAAGAGAAAATCTATAAAGAGAAGATGTATGGGTAGTAGTCTTCACTCAAATCTATCATTTAACATTGACCCCAGAAGCCTCATTCACAAGCTCATATTAATTGCAGAAAAAGCTTCTAAATAATTTCAGTTCTCACCTAACAAAAGAAGAATTCAAAGTAGATCCATCTTTTATTTTAATTTGAACTACCGCAGGTAATATATCATTCTACGAGGACCAGAAGGGTATGTTTCTAATTTCCAACCATGTTTCTAAGTGATTTCAGTTCTCACCAACAAAAAATGAAGGATGCAAAACAAGAAGAAAACCTTATGAATACCTTGTCGTAAACTGGAATGAAGTAATAACCATTAGGAGCACATTGTGTTCGGTCCTTAACCAATCCGTCCAATGTCCGCAGCTCAACCTACAATCTCAAAACCAGTCATTGCATCTACACTAAACCAGATCCAACTCAACCCTAATAACTGGACAAAGAACTCGACAACGTAGCATGCATCATTACATTTTTACAACACTAGGTGAAATAAGGCATGTACCGTAACATGAGAATAATCCAATTTTGAATCAGTTGGCTTCCTCGATCTTATCAGTGCTCGACTCGCCTACCAAATCAAAAGAAAGGTTCACTTTCACACTAATATACCCAAATAAATGCATAATCTCCCCATTTCAGATAAGCTCAGTCAAGAATCAGTAGAAAAACACTAATAATTAATCCAGAAAGCCATGAATACCACCTCAACAAACCCCCCACATCCATGTATAGAATCAGCAATAGCGAGCTCATAACAGTGAAAAATCATAATGGCGAAGAAGAACAGATGCTTTGTGGAATACATTGTATTCCTTGATCTGATATCCTAACCCTACGAAACGAATACTAAAATCAACGAGTGGAAAGGTGATAGCTATGATAACATTGGGATCGTGCAGTAATGCATCAAGAGAAGGCAGAAGGCGAATGCGGCGGCGGCGGCGGCGGCGGCAGTGGAACGGCCGGACAGGGTGTGATGTACTTATTGTCCCGTCAAGATTTTACACTGGCTCCCAAAGCCGATGGTGTGCTGTTAAAAGGACTTCGCCACAAGCGATGCAACAAATATACTACTGTAAACTTAATAAAAATTGTAATTTAATATTAGTTTTATTTTGTGTGTATATATTTTATTTTCCATGAGTATATAGCAGTTTAATATTTAGAAATAATTTCTATATAATTCATCCGTTATAAAAAAGTGTTCGAGTTTCTGTTTAACATTATAAACGTTATAAAATATGCACATCCAATCAATTAATGGTATTTTAGAGGATCGTTACTATCCACATGACAATAATTATAAATTACATATATTAAATTCATAAAAAAATATTTATTAGTATAAAAATAGTTTTAAAAATTAATATTTTTCTTTTATTTATGGTATATAATAATTTAATATATAATTTATATGTTTATAAAAAAGTTGTCATTGTAGAGTTCCTATTTAGAAATAGAGATAATGACAATTTAACATATTCAAACATTGTCAATAAATAATATACACAAAATACTTCTCCCTCTATTTTT